CTGTTTTTATTAATATTGCCACTTCTCATCTATGCTAGCAGTGTGGCTATAGGGATGGTCCAGGGTGAAATATTTCATCACCTACCCCAGATGCTTTATGAGAAATGGATACTGGACTCTAAGATGGCACCCATTCATGTGAAAGAAAACAGCCATAACTAAAGCCAACCAAGTTTGTCATCTGCCAAGTTTAGTTCCACATTGTGTGGCCCACTGCATGTTAGTTCCTCTCTCTCTAGCCTTTCCTGTACGTTCCTGCATGGCCCTTAGAGTTTACACTGGGGTGATGTAACATAAAAACCACTTGTCTAGGTTCTGAGCATTTTTTTCAAACAGAAGACCTGCATCATCAAAATGATCATATAAAGCATCATAGTGTGAGTGATCATTGGTCTAGTTTGTATTTTCAGGTGTCCTATCAAAGGTTTTACAGATGTGATCTTTATAATGCGGGTCTAGGAGAGAAAACTGATTTTGGCCTGATACTTTAGTTGCACTTTGCCACTGGGGAAGGCTCCAAGTTAAACTCCAGCTTCAGCTGCTCTCTGTTAATAATGGGCAGATGCAGGGGGCAGCGCTGGGCACATTCAAAATGTGATGCTTGCTATGAATGAATGAAAAATGAAAAACAATGACAAACTGTTGCCTTGATTAACATTCTTCTGGTGCTTTATAACTGATATTGGTGAAACTATTTCAAATAAACTTTGGTCAAAATGTCCCCAGTCAGGATTTGGTGAGGAGGCAGCCAAAGTTATCTTAAAAAAAAAAGCAGTATTGTTCTCATTTTTACACAAAATAAACAAGTGAATTCTTAATAATGTGTGGTTTATTATTTCATATAACTAGGGGTTTCATTTACTTTTCCCATGTTTTTCAAATATGTCACCCCTCTCTGAGTCTGTGCCCCCGTCGAGCCACCCCATCCAGAATTTTCTAGATCCACCCCTGCTAATTAGCAAACGTTAACATGCTAGCACAAAGACATTTAACATTGTAAACATAACATACTTGCTCAAAATGAGCATGTTCGTACTGCCACTGTGTGCGCATGCTAGCATATAGTTGAAAGCAGTGTTGAACCTAAGAGGAGTCTCACAGATTCATGAACATCTCTGCAGACTCCTTTTCTGGTTGAAAAACAAGTGTTGCTTTGGCTGTGTTCCACTTGCTACACCCCTGATCCTCTAGAAAAGTTGCTGTGTGCACACGTTATTCATGCATTTATAAATCCATGTAGTCATAGAGACCATTGAATCAAAAGAATACATTCATTATTTCTCCCTCTGTGTAGAATCGTGGTTGTGCTTGAATGATTCTTTTCAGTGTACTGTCTTTATTACAAACACCATACTAAGCAGCCAAGTCTGTTGCACAAGATGTGAGCACCTGCTAATCATAATATCACATTCTGGCACTAATCCTCACTCATAAAAGAGGACAAAGCACAATTAAATCATCTCTGGGCAGTTTCATACATGTCACTCCCATTCATTCATGACACTGTTGTCAATGAATACTTCAGCAGATGATATCATGATGTACTATTATTGCATTAGGAGCTCAGGTACAAACATGACAATGAGGTAATACTGTGACTTCATTTGAAATACTGATGTCTTTACATCAAGTTTTCAAGTAAAAACACCTATTTGGCTGAATTTATTTGAATATCATTCCTCCATTAGTCACAGAGATTTTTATATTCCTGCTTTAATTTGATTTTTAAAAAAATATCCTACACATCTCTGACAGAATTATCGGAGGTGTCCTGTCAGATGATGTTTTGTCTTCACACCTTCTCTAAGCTCACAACACGGGCAACATAACATGGTCATGGAGAAAAGAGCCAGTGTTTGTGTCTTCTCTGGTGAAGAAAAGACTAAGGACACGTCTAAACAGCATGTATTCCCAAGTCTGTGTTTATTTAGATTTGATTTGTGATGCTGAAAAACAGGCTGCAGGTCATGGAAGGAATGGAAATGATAAATTCTAGTAGGTCAATCAAGTCTACTTGATAAAAATGTAGTTTGTCTTGTTTTCCTCACATTTATATGGCTATAAATTTATGATAGCTCAGTATTAGAAGCTCATATTCTAATCTAAAAGTTTTGGTCCACTGTGGGGTGTAATTTGAGCTTTTAGCCTATCTCAGAGGGCAAATCCCTGACTGGACACTGGAATAATGAGGAAACTATGTTTTGATCAGTGTAACTACAGTTCAACAAATGAGTTTCACATCAGTCATGAAAACAAATCAGCACAATTTTGGACAGCTCTTTTGGACTTTTGCTTTCCATTTCAGTGTTTCCAATTTTCCAAGGTTTCCACTAACCTGTAATACAGTTCACAGAAATCAGGACCATCAGTCAGCTACAACAGTGATCTCCAACTCATCTATTCGACTCCCACCACAACTGTAAGGGACTGATTTGGAGATACATCAGCTTCAACACTAAGCTATTTTCCCGTCCCCTCAGTGAACCTTTGTATGAATGATATGATATATTTCTAACCCATCTCAGAGTTTTGCAGATACGTGATACTGTACTGGCACATGTAGGAATCCCAGCACAGCAGTGTTACATGTCTGTATCCTCAAGCTTTTTATGGATGTGTCAATGTGAGCTGTGTGGGTTTGTAAATTTCAACATATTGCAGCTGTGCTGAAATGACTAATGGCTAAGTTTTACCAGAGCTGATTGTGATCTAGTTTTCATTTTCTATTAGAAAGAACTGAATTATGCTCAGTGTAAGGATACAAACTCACAAGTTGTACTGTATCCTTTACATATTGTACAGATAAGGCATGTACATCACCTCAATCTGTCCTGCTAACACACACATTTGAACAGTCTGCTGCCTGTGGCCCAGATCTCTAAGTAAGTTGATGTGGAGACTGTCTTACACTGCAGGGAATTACCTCAGCTCTGAATCATGTGGCGCCTTGCCTAGAGTGTGAACAATGCAATCACCCAACCATCCTTCTTGCTCAAAAACTGTCAGAGGGCCTCACAGAGGAGCTGCACACACACACACTGCAGGAGTCTCGAACACACTGTTTCAAAGCTCCAACTAGGCCATCTCAGGCAAATTCAGTTGGAGTGGTGAGGTTTATGATTCCGTATCAGTGGCAACCCTGGGCTAATGCTACAAAACACAGTTTTACTATTTTAACTTTGTTTTAATGGACAGAAAATAAGCAGAAGCTTGAATCACATGCAAAAAGGCACAAACTAGCAGGTTTTAGTGTATAAGAAAACCTCAGTAATTCAGGAGACTTCATTAACAGACACTTTTATACATTCTTTTCAAGGTTTGCTCTTCTTTTCAAGCTTTTTTGAAATATTTTAATCATCTAGGATTAGCTTGCAGATGTAAAGGAATCATTGACTTAAATAAAAAATAGCAATACCACAGTGTAAAAACAGAAGTAAAAGTCCTGATCTACTGTACTCCATGTGGAAGTTAAAAGGACCTCTCTGGTCTCCACACTAAAGCCCAATTTACTTTCAGGAGTACACTGTTAAAACTGACATCACTGGTTTATGTTGCCCAGTTACACATAACAAAATAAAAGTGAGTACACTGTTGTGAAATATCGCCTCTAGCCGGAATAGCAACTTTGGTGCTTAGTTTGTTGAAAAAAAAACAAAAACAGAGTCAGATAGTCAGATTATTCCCTCTCACATTAAACACTTAAAAATGAGTCTGAGCATGTTTTTGTTTCACTCCTGCTTTGTCATTTGTATATATTTACTTTAGTGGAACATGATGCTGAAAGCAAAATAAATTACTTGGTAAAATGTGTTTACAGTTCTTTTGCCTCTTACAAAATTCATCTATTTATCATAGTTTGATCTAACCTACTCAGTGCGTCCCATTCATAAACCAGATGTCACAAAGACATACTGTATACTCCAAAGAGACCATGGAAGGTAGCCATGATGCTTTTTATTTATAGCTCACTAAGTCATCTATGCTGACCTTTTTCGGATCATCCTCTGGGCCCAAAGTCACCAGACCATCTATCACCTTCTATAAAACAGGCACAAAGACCACAGCACTCCAGTGCCTAAATCCTCTGGCAGACTGATTTTGGCCTCTGTTTTTTAGACAGAAACTTCACATTACACTGTGGGAAGATTCATCACCCGTGAATAACAGTCAGCGGCTTTGTGTAATTACTTGTGACAAGTCTGAAGGTACAGGGTCCAAAAATGTCTTGGCATGGTCAGATAATCTGTGGCACAATCATACTTTGAGGCCGGTAGTATGACGTGATTGACTAATAATAACAATGCCAGGCAATGACGACATCTTGCTGTGCTGCATAGATGACAAATGTGGAAATAGATGTAGGATGAAGGTTGAGTTTACAACCTACTTCCACTATAATGACAGAATAGGTTATATTGGCACAGTCTGACTTCAAGTAAACAAAAATCAAATTTGGACATGCACAGCTTCCAAGGACATTGAAAGGAAAGTTCACTGCTATTGGTCATATACTATACATATATCTTTTGGTCACTGTTTTTGTATTTTTTCTTATTTCCTGGGATTTATTAAAGTCTAGGTTTTGTTTAAAGGCAGTGCTGGATATGAAGCTCATCAGGGAGTGAAGTAGTCAAGGCAAGATGACTGAAAGTTGCATCCATGCACACAAGTACCTAAATCCTTGGCCAGAAAATGTTAATTAAAATATTTCATCAGTCACTAGGTAACCACTGGAATACAACAAACATCACAGATTGATTGACAGTGTAAAAGCATCGGATAGTGTTTCATTCTTTTGAGTTCTTCAAAGTCATTGTCATGGATTCAATTTGTCACATCTATTGTGTTTGTTGTTTTGCCTCTGACTTGAAAAGATAAATGATGTAAAAGACAAAGACCTAAGACACCCACATACACAAGGCACATGGTGCAAGAAATGTACATGTGTAACTTAGCAGGACATAAAATAAACATTCTTATCCTTCCTTCCATTCATTCAGCAGATAGAGGAACATGCGATCTCGCAGCAACAGTCTGGAGGACATAGCCAGGGCCAAGCCTGTGCAGCAGCATCAGGCGGATGCACGCAAGCGACTTGTAGAGCGGGAGGAGCCCTCAGGAAGGGCTCAACACCGCAGCCGACACCATGAGTCGCCGAATGACACTGGCACCATTCAGCGGAATCACAAGACAGCCAAGAACAGCACCTGTGCTGGTGGGACCAGCAGCGCCAGTGGTGCTGCAAAGGGCGCTCGGAGGGAGAAAGGCAGGGACCTTTCCCGAGATGACCTTGTCTTTCTACTAAGTTTGCTGGAGGGGGAGCTACAGGTACAGTGATCTAAACTGCTGAGATGACAGAGCAAACTTGGATTTAACCCTGGGAAACATTTAGCCATTACAGCAGCAAACAGGCCTGCATACATGGCACTGACCCTAATCGGATGTACAGTCAGACACGGTGGCTCAGGGAAAAGTGGGCACTCAAGATGGACTAAAGGCTTGTGTTAATGGACAGCAAACAGCTGAGGGTACTTCCTGTCATTCCAGTACTGGATCCAGGAAAACCCTGGCAGTGTTGTTGTGTTATAGTAACAAGACAAAGTCTGGCTTACTGAAGGAAACAAAGTAGACAAAAGCAAACAGAGACCCAGAAGAGCAGAGGTAGAGTTATTGTTTCCATGTAGCCGCCAGTAACTGTAGAAGCAGAGAAAACTACTGCACACTAATATATAGATATAGTGCAGATATAGTGACTTTCTAAGGCAACTTTTGATATGTAAAGAAGTCTGATACTTGTTCAGTGTCCATGCAGCTAGGTTCTGTCTATAACCCAGTGTAGGTACATCTAAGTAAATCTACTTTGTTCTCTAACTGCAGGCCAGGGATGAGGTGATCACAGTGCTAAAGGCAGAGAAAATTGACTTGGCCTTACTGGAGGCCAAATATGGCTTTGTCACACCACAGAAAGTCCTGCAGGCCCTCCAGAGAGATGCCATACAGGGCAAGGACGATGTCTTTCAGGAGGACATTTATGAGAAGCCCATGGCAGAGGTAATGCTAACACTCAAACATAATTGAAGACAAAACTGTACATAGGGTTAAAAATACCCTCAATAACTGTGACCAAGTAACACAGCAGACCAGATGTGACAGATGTTTTCTGTGTGCTTCCACCACAGCTGGATAATTTAGTCGAGAAGCAGAGGGAGACACACCGGCGGATGCTGGAGCAGCTGCTGATGGTGGAGCAGTCGTACAAACAGACCCTGTACAAGCTGGAGGATGAAAAGAGAAACCACGGAGAATTCATGAAGAAGAGCGATGAGTTCACTAACCTGCTGGAGCAGGAGCGTGAAAGGTCAGTGTGGGGATTAAGGCAAAAGCTCAGGTAGAGAAAATCTGCCAGTCTTCCACCAAGCAGGACTGCCACATCTGTTGCTTCTGCCTTGCAGTGTCTAGATACACTGATGGCATCCTCTGGGAGATTTGGTGATATATGTTCTGAATGCTGTAAATAAAACAAACTCACATTCTCAATTCTGACATCTGATTTAAACTCTAATTTTGGACACCCTTCCACTACATTAAAGCAAACTGCATATGCAAGCTTCCTGTTGAGTGTCAATGAGGCATTTGATTCCTGTTTTTCAAAGCCTTGTCTTCCTCTCCAAGTGAACCTACAGTAACAATATGTGATTAATTTGAATCGACAGTAGAAGGTGTTGGTCAAATTATAAAATGTTTAAATCAAACAACACAAAAGAAAATGAAAATATGCAGCGTAAGTAATCCAATCAGTTTTAAATTTATCAACAAAAACTACAACATAAAATATTCAGACAACCTATTTTTCAAGGCAAAAATGAGACAAACTAAATAAAAATGTACATTTGTCAACAAGAACTATGATGAAATGTTCTACATTTTTCTATCAACGAAAAGTAAGTGATAATGTGAAAGACAGATGAATGGATGTGCTGTAAAAGAAAGGCAGCAAAACATTTCATTCAGCAGAGTATTAAACTAAAGCCAAAATTAAGACTTGAGTGCTTTACTCAAAGAAATCTGCCAGCTAGTAAAAGAGTTCAAATCCTCCATCTGATTCCAGCCACTCAGCACTGCCAAAGTATGAATGTCTTAATAATCCAGTGTTAGCATTAAATCAAAGTGTTCTTCGGGATCACAGGGGAAAATCAATACTAAAGAATTCCATTATTGCTTCGTCCATGACCTGGAGCACATCCTTTACTTCATTATACACTTTTATTGAACAACTGTAGAAAGCTGGAGCAAACCAAGAGTTTTTTTTTCTAGAGATGGTCCAACGAGAGCCACTGACTGAGAGCGGTTGCAAGACTTTGTTGACAAATCATTTACATTTGAGCAAAAATGCATACGATTCACATGTACTGCTCTACTAAATGGTAGTACTGTGAACTCAAGTGAAAAACCACATTCCTGTCTGCATTTTAGAGCCAGTGAAGTTAATAAGCAGCAGTTCTTAATGATTAGATTACTTAAGATGCAGTTTTTTATGTAATAATGGCTGACACTGTCCAAGATAGATATATATTATTAGAATTGTTTTAGCCATGGTATCAGCAATGACTCTAGGGATCTCTAGCCAGTGAAGCCTCCTGAGTTTGGGGATCCCCTGATTATTCCTCTAGTACAGGGGTGGCCAATTCCAGTCCTCGAGGGCCACTGTCCTGCTTGTTTTCCAACTATCCCTGCCTGACCTGCTGCTGATTACCTGGCTCAGGTGTGTTCAGTCAGTCAGAAGCTGGAAGATACCATCTTAGATGAAAGTGGAGTGAGGAAAGATAAAGTGAATTGGTATCTTCCAGCTTCTGAATGTCCTATACCTGCTAAACATCAACACACTATAGTAGCATGTCACTGGAAGCACATCCCCAATATGCAACCCCTCTAGTGTTGCTGTAGATTTTTGCACCAGATGTCCTGCTAACATTTATGCTATCAAGTTCTGTAACAGTACATCAGCCATTTAGAAGTCCTGACAACAGACTAAAGCATGTTGTGTCTCTTCATGCAGCCACTGAAGACACTGTACTGTGTGTACTGGATTTCCTGACATTAAAAGTATTTTAGGTTACCGTATGTTACAGAGGTGCTAACACCTGATCCACTGGTGGAACTGTGATCCATAAAGTGCTGTAATGTGAGATGAACCTGGGCTGAATTATATGGAAGTGCTGTTTAACAATGCCAGTCAAGAAAGATGGTTTGGAGGCCTAAGGCAGCAACACATCAGACTACATGTGCTCTGTTTACTGCTTCCTCAGCCATATCAAATAACATAAACACACTGAGGGTAAACACACTACCCCATAAACTTACCTATGACACACACAGACAAACTTGCATCCATAAAAACACATGCACACACTGGACAATTAATTCACAAAGGAAATTCAGCTGGACTTTGTCCTGTGACCTTCCTGGGACAATTACATCATTGAACTTTAGCTGTAGGAGAGTGTTTGAGTCGGACCAGAGGACAGTTTGGCAAGGGTGTGTGCTTTGTCACTGAGCATGTCAGGAAGGACAGCCTGCCATAAAAAAATAGGCCTCAGCCTAGGATTGAGCCAATTACCAAGTGAGAAAAGGAGAAGGTTTTATATGAAAAAACAGCTCTGAGAAGCATCAGTCACACTGCATGTTCAAGATGCCAGTGTATTGAGTTTAACAATCCACTTCAGTATTACTGCATGCACATGTGTAAGTAACAGTGGTGTTTGACATCTGCCATGGTCATCTGTCATCAGTGGCTGGACACAGCCTTCTTTATGTGGAGTTCTCTGTTATGGCCGTAGATGTGAGTGTGTATGAAATCATTAGGTAAAAGTGTGTTTAGAGGTGTCTACTTAGTAATTCATTCCCCTCCAAAGCTGTTTATACAGACAGTGGGATGTTTTGCTTTCAGTGCCACCAAATGGATAACTATGAATTATACTACACAGTACTGCTGTATTTGCTGGGAATGTGCATGCAGGGGTTCCTGGCCAAGCAGGAGTAGTCACTATGTGTGATTGCAATTTTGCTGTACTGTACATTTTGATGGCTATTTATTAATAGTTATCAAAGTGTTTTCTGAACTGATGAGTAATATGACAAAACTGGACCCACGCTGAAATAAACCAGAACCATCCATCAGTCAAACTGACAATGTGCCCTGTAGTGTTAAACATCCAGTTTTAACAAGAAGTAGAGAAGATATATTTCTGTTATGTAACAGACTACTGAAGTCATCAAGACTGCCTCAAGCTGGAGGAAACTAAGAATCCCAGAGGACCTTGAGTAAATAACAATTTAGTCCTTTGCCCGAGCGCAAAGCCCTGGGTTTGTTCAGTGGCTTCTGTTCTGTTCTGTACTACTTCCAAAGTGTTATTACAGAGAGCTAGAAAAAACTCCAAAGCCCAAAAAGTGTTAACTTCTAAAGGAAAAGTCATCACTCCTTTGTGGAGAGCTGAAACAGCTCTCAGTGTTTGCAGAGCAGCTGCCATGGCTCCATATGAGGCATCACGTTGCACTGGACTTTAATTTCACTTGCGTTAATCCTTTATTATGTGATACATTTTAGCTGGATGTAATCATTTCCTTTTACTGGGCCATTGTAAGCAGCAAGTTGTGATTACATCCCAAGCTAATGCACAGCAAAGTTTGGGAACAGTCAAAACCTTTTCCCTTCTATAAAGGCAAACACACTCGCACATTCATAAACTCCTCATCTCCTGTTGCTTTTTTTCAAATTTTGACTTTTTTTTTCATCGCAGACAGCCTCTGACTGCAGCTGACCTACTCTATGGAAGCTCTAAACAACATATAAATCCAGACAGGGTGCTAGGGATAAACCTGGCCCCCCTCTGATTAATTGTCAATCGACCAGATGTGCATGAGTGATGACCTCATCACTAGCCGCATTCTGCAGGGGCAGCAGGGGTGTGAGAGTGAGAGCGGCATCCTAACCATCAACAGATGTTACTTTAAATATGACTTCAGCTCACAGATATTGTACAGTGCATACAGGCCTGATAGTCGCCTTTGTTCTTTTGTAAGGAACAGAAGAGCAGGGAGTGAATGTATCCTCTGGTTCCTACTGACTGATGTTAGAGTGAGGAGTTCAGCTAATGTTTTCACGAGAGGTACACAACCCAGTATGGGAACACGAGTCAAGTGTCAAACCTCCAATTCATCCACCTATCTTTGCCATTTAAAGTTACATCACTTGACATATCGATGTCTCCACATGACAGCAAGAGGCATGAAATCCGAGCTCTGGACGTCAAAGACTCTTACGATCAACATCAGTAAAATGCACACAGCACCCTCATGCTTACCAATCCAGCTGATCTGGGATCAGACAAAGAGAACTGGAAAAGGTTCTAATCACTTGCTGTTGTTTAGTTAGGGTTTCGTAATGTTTCTTTTTGTGGCAGAGTTTAATTTGGCACAAAAACAATAAGCAAAAACTGAATTATTAAAAGTGAAAGCTGACACACTGTCAGGGCCGCTCAGTGGCCCCTGCCTCTCCTCCGTCTTTCTCTCCTCTGCTCTCTATCCTGTGGGCTCTGCACCTCAGCTGTGTTGCATTCCAGTAATTAGCAACTGGTTTGTCGATGCACACAGCTGGGGTGCATCTCGATGATTACTTTTCCTCCTTATTTAAACCTCTGGCAGACGCTCTGTCTTTGCCGGAACATTATCAATGTATTGCGCAACCTAGATGGGGTAGAATGCTTTTGGCTTGACTCTACCATTATACATAACCTAGTACCACGGATAGAATGCTACGCTGACAGACACTGTGCGTTTTGGCTTGACTCCATCACACTAGATATACGCTACACTACCCCAGACCGTACGTTCCCATGTTATGTTCTTTTGATACTTTGTGTTCTCTTTATTTACCTCCTACCGTCATGTTTTTTCCCCCTAGCACCTGGGTCTGCACACTTGAGTCCAACCTCAGTCCTCCCTCACCCTCCTGGTGAGGGGGGCTACCATAACACACACCACTGACTAAAACATCCTCAAATGATAGGTTCCCATTTTTCAGATCTGTTTTAATACAACACTCAGATGTCACTCTCTGTCAGCAACATTTCATGGTTCAAATTAATAAGATGCATGTGCTTTTCCATGCAAATGGAAAAGATGTAATTTTCTCTATTTTATTAGTCATCACTCTTGCACAGTTCATGTTCAATAGTTGTGAGTTTGCCACAGAAACGAAGCTGTGTGATAGGAAAACAGCTCATGGATGATATTAAACAGAAGTGTGCTGATGTAACTTACTGGCACAATAAGTGATAATCACTGTTACTGAGCTTTTTA